AAAAATCATATTACTAGAATACATTGGTATCGAAGGAACTAGATTCTGTTCCGAAATATCACTTACTCGAACCGTCCTGACCGCGTAGCCACAGATGAGGTAATACAGATGTGAATCTCCTGTGAAAATGTGTCACACGGATTAAATAAACTTTAAAATTATATTAATTCACTATTTTATTAAATTTTGATAATGCAGAGGAATAAAACTATACATATTATAGAAGTATTCATGTTTTTTTTATGCGAGAGGTATGTTTTGAGGCATTTATATCATTCGCTGTTTTGTTATTTATACACGAGCATCTGAAATTCCCAGCAAGTGTATTTCACAATTTTAATAAGAAGTAGATAGGGAAAAAAACAAACTTTTGCTAAATAAAATGTTATATTAACACTTTTAATAAAAAGAAATCAATAAAAGTGATCGCTTACCGTTACTCTTGAAGAATTAATTCCAAAAATAGCCGTCGGTAGCGTAGATTTTTAAAAAAACAATTTTTCGTCTTTCGAACGGCGTTTTCCTATCTCTTTCCTTATTAAATTTCAGAACGACACTTGCCAGCGCTCGCCGGAAGTGAGAATTCCGTGTGACACAAAACAATCAGCAATTTCACAGGAGATTCACATCTGTACTTACCTCATCTGTGGCGTAGCTCAGTTGGAAGAGCATTGGGCTAGTATTCCAAAGGTCGTAGGTTCGAATCCCACCGTGGCCGGGCATATTTTTCAAGCTCGCCCGGTGTGGATATACACTCAGAGTAACATCTCAAATATCTTATTCCTGTTACAAGTTTCTAACTTCCTGTTCTGTTCAGCGCATTGTAATTGGCTAACAAAAATAATCTGCCAATGACAACGCTCAGAACAGAACAGGGAAATTTGAAAGGAACTTTCTTTGCGTTGGAATATTGCAACGGCCGACAGGAAAATTGCAAATTCCCTCAAGGATTTGTAAAGAGTTTTTCAAATTTGCAAACTGAATATGAAAATTCCAAATGAGTTAGGAACTCAAAAGAGGAACGCCTCACGTAGTTTACCTGTAAACTTATTGAATCAATATTTTAAATTTCAGGCCAGTTACACCAAAATTTATAAGCGCTTGCACACCATAAAGGCAGATTTCCATTCCGTGCAAAATGTCGTGCAATCGATCACGATCACTTTCTTTTGAAATACAAGCAATCAAACACAACGGATTATGTTGACTGAACGTATTTCAAAAGAAAGTGATCGCAAAAAGTTGATCTCGTGATAATTTGCACTGAATGAGGCATGCAACATGTACGCACTGCGTACCTATTTTTATTTCTTTAAAACAGTGTTTTTTCACTCTTTAGATAAATTTGTATTTTTCCTTATATATTACCGTCTAGCGCATTCTAAGCTTAGCCAATCAGAATTCAGCACGTGAGTCAGTAGGATTTCGTTATTTGTATAGATCACGAACGCGTGATATTTGCAAAATTTCGTTTTCCAAATGTTTTGGGAAATAGGAATTTTATTTACAATTTGAAGTTTTATCACATGAGAAAAACTTTATAGCCATATCCAATTAAATCTAGAATACAAATCTCTAATCTATACGTTTATATTACCACAGTACTATCTAAACGCACAAATCCATACGTGTCTTCTATACGCGGCGTTTTTATCATTATTATTATTTATTTTGCCCAATAAAAAGTTTACATAATTACAGTGCTATAATAACAACGTGAAGGGCTAGAGACCTTAATGAAACCCTTTCAGGCTTTTTGGTAAGAGGTCCCTAGTTTTACAATGTTCATAAGAATAATTTTTAAGAGTCGAATAGAATATTTACAAGTAATGATTATAACATAACTAAGACAGTCTTAGACTAAGTATTAAGAAGAAGAAAAGTTTAATTTAACTAAAAATTATTTTTCTATATACAAGACATGAAGGCTTTGTATTTTCAGATGCGTATATACAAACATTATGACTAGTTTGATGACAATCAAATATATTCCAAAAAGAATATCTTTGATTTTATTTTAAAAGTAAAATAAGACCTAATATTGCTAATTTTTTCATCAAGGGAATTCCATGTTTCAATTCCCTTGTTAATAACGGTATGTTTGGCATAATTGGTTCTTCTATAGTTAACGTGAAATTTGTTTGCATTTCGAGTATTATAACGATGTATTTCACTATTCCGCGTGAAGTAATTATTAAAAAACTCAGGTAAATTTTGGAAGTATTTAATACGGTACATGAATAAGCAACTTAAATAATCATTGATCTTAAAAATATTTAAGATCTTCAACTTGTGAAATAACGGTTCAGTGTGGTCAAGATAGGATTTAAAGGTGATCAGGCTAATAATTTGTTTTTGTACATTCAGCAACTTTTGAAGCCTTGTTGGGTATGTATTTCCCCATGTTAGATTCCCATAAGTAAGAAATGGATAAACCAATGCATAATAAATTAATTTTAGCGTATTTCTGTTTGTATAATTTCGTAGTTTTGCAATAAGTGCAGTGGCTTTAATCATATTTATCAAAACCGAGTTTATATGGTTCTTCCACGTCAGATTTTGGTCTATTATTACACCTAAAAATTTTACATGAGTAACCTGTTGTATTGTGTTATGATTTAGTTGAATATTAATTTTAGTGTCGCATTTCTTGTTGCTTGATTTAAAAATAATATATTTAGTTTTTGTTGTACTTATTGACAATTTATTCACATTAAGCCAATTAGGTACTTTATTCATTTCTTCTTGCATGATGTTTGTTAATGATTTCAGATTTTTATCAGAATAAAAAGCATTAGTGTCATTAGCATACATAACAAATGAAATAATTTCTTTACAATTTTCAATGTCATTAATATATATGAGAAAAAGTAATGGTCCAAGAATTGATCCTTGCAGAACTCCTGTAGATATTGTCCTTTTGTTTGATCTATGATTACCAATTTTAACAATTTGCGTTCTTTTGTATAAGTAGTTTTCAAACCATTTAAGACAATTTCCTCTTATACTATAATGTTCAAGTTTTTTTAAAAGAATTTCGTGGTTTACTGTATTAAAAGCCTTAGAAAGATCAAGGAAATCTATATATATACAGTAATATACGGATTATATACGAATCTTCTCATTCAGTACATTTTTCCAGCGTCCTCGACCTTCACGAGTTCTGATAAAGACAATTTCACCTCTCAATTAGTAAAACCTCCCGCTAATCAAACTGGACAACAGAACCTTGTTCTAACACAATAATTCTGTCACATTTTTGAATTGTATTCGTACGATGTGAAATTATTATTACTGTTTGATCTTTAAGTACCTGGTGAATAACGTACTGTATTTGCTCAGCTGTTTCCTTGTCTACTTTGCCTGAAGCTTCATCAAATATTATTATTTTGTTTTGTTTCAATAAAATTCTTGCCAAATGAAACAACTGTCGTTGACCAACACTAAAATTTGAACCACCACCAGTGCATAGATGGTCCAGCTTTTGTGGTAAACTACGAACAAGAAAACTAAGCTGCATCTGATCCAAAACATTCCATATTTCAGAATCATTGAATTCACCTGTTGGATTCAGATTCTCTCTGATAAAACCGTTAAAAAGTTCAGGAGACTGGGAAATCACAGAAATCCGTTGACGAGTAGATTGCAGATTCAAATATTGGATGTCGGCATTGTCTATAATAATATTTCCCTCAATTTCGCCAATTCTCATGAGAGCAGCAACTAGAGAAGACTTACCAGCACCTGTCCTTCCTGCAACACCAATCTTTTCACCTGGATTGATTTGAAATGATAAATCTTTCAAAACTTTAGGTCCATTTTCATAATATCGCAATGAAACATTCTTGAACTCTATTTTGCTTAACTCTGGCCATTCTTTAGGCGGTTGTACAGTGATCTCTTGTCCTTTCTCTGGTTTGATTTCAGTGTAAGCCAAAATTCGTTCAGCAGAAGTCATCTGAGCTTGCACCTCGACAGCATTACGAAGCAAGCCTGCCACGTTTAAAGTAGTTTGAAATGAATACAGGATGGCCACGGAAGCAATAACTAAAACATAAAATTCAATTGATAAAAATGCTATTCACATTCAATGCATTTTCTCATTTGTTTCAACTGTCTAATGATTGGCTGAGGATATACAACATTTAACAGTTATTCTACGAACTCGAGTCGAATAAGAGCTGGTAGCCGACGAGGCGCGTAGCGCCAAATCGGCTATCGCTCATATTCGACGAGAGTGAGTGGAATAACGTACTGTTTTATTATATACACAAGGTCTGAATTCACAGACTTTGCTTTTCGGATATTTTCAATATTTTTCTATTTTGTTTATGTTTTTATCTTCGCTCTTTCGGTCAAGTATTTTTTCAAAAATGTATATTTTTAACCATTTTAAATTTTAAACATTCATTTGCTAACCTGTAAACAATTTGTGGGAGTTTTTTCGTTGTGTTTTTAATCCTGTAAAGGCTATAAAAAGCGAACAACTTGCCGTTTTCTCGTTCGCAAAATGTCGGAAATTCAGTTTGAGCCGCCATTTTGTTTTTCTCTGCTAGCAGGATATGAGCTAATATCCTGCTAGTAGAGAACCAATCAGATTGCAGAATACCTCATATCCAGACCTTGTGTATATAATAATTAGTGATACACGTTTCTTTGACTAAAGAAATTGTTCATGTCTAAGCGACCTTGACGTATTTGCACTTCAAAAAATCAAATTCTAGTCTAGAATAATATTCTTATTTCATTACCAGAAATATGGGACAAGATGGCGACGGACATGCGCACTTTGACCAAATATGGCGACCAAATATTACTATAAACTATATGGGAGTTGATCAAAATATCAAATTTTAATATACTTTGTTTAAATATTTCATGGTTGCGGAGCTCGATTATAGTAGCGACACCAACAAGCAATATTTCTAAACAAAAATCGCTGGTATTGCACGGCGTCTAGCAGGTTCCTGAGAATGTTGTATTGTTACACGCAAATTGATGAATTTCATAGTGTAATTTATAGTAAACTTCTGACACAAGAGGTAAATATCCGACGAATAGACCAACATCCATGCGGGCGATGAAAAGTGCGGAGCTCGCAACATATTTAATGATGTCCAAACTGTTAATTTAGGTAAATAAATCCGCTGTAATACCCAGGGAAACTGGTTCCCGAAACGTTTAAAAGTTTGCCTTTTTACGGTTCTTGTATGTCGCCATTAGGCCATCTTAATATCCGAAAACGACAAGTTTTAGTACAAATTTGAGCTGTTTCGAGCAGCCATGTTTGTTGTTTATTTTAAAAGACTAGATCCCAGGCTCTCACGTAAAAACACAGGGATATTTTAGGATTTTTTAGGATATTTGCAATATTTTTAGTCTTCATAAAAATTTGCGGGGTTAAAGGTCAAAATACCGGAAGTGATCAACATAAATTGCAAAATATAGTTTAAAATCACAGTTTTTGGTTGAATAATACTTGAACTGGAGATTCAAAGTAAAATACGAAGTCGTTTTACTTATATTAGGGAATGTTGGGCATATAAAACGGACTTAGCCGCTGAATACAAAAGCGGGAGCAAAATGTCCCATATTTCTGGTAATGCTATAAATTTTGAATTCGAATCGCATTCAACGGCGTATATGAATATCAGCGTTTATATAATAGCTATACTATGGTAAATCTTTGTGAGGACAGTGCTTGGATGTGAATAATGAACATGAATATTAAATGTTTAACAAAATTAAAGCTAAACAGTTGATTCTGTCGAAAGATCAAATCGAAGGAAGAGCGTTGAATTGCTGCCAAGGTCCAGATCATGGTCAAGATAGTGCGAATTTCAGGTTGGTAGATTTGTTTGAACGTTTGAAGCGGTCCTAAGAATATTGTTTACATTTTTAAAATACACATCCCTTCTTGTCTGTGATTTAACTGTACAACATAGGAATGATCATCACTTCTAGTCTGCAATATTCAATATTCAGTGGTCATGAACGTGTTTTGACTGAGGCAATGGTTCACACTTCACATTGTTTACAGATACAATAAAAGTATATGGCCCCTGCACATAAGCCCCCATCAAAAAATCTTTACGGACGAATATAAGCCCAGGGCATATGTTCGGAGGTTCACGGTATGCCATTATATATCTGATTCTCTTGTGTTCTTTGATTGGCAGTAAAAACTGTAATCATTTTAATGGTGTCTGTTCTTATAGTTTTTTCCATTCTTTCAGATTGATGTAAACCAAATGATATATCACTTTTGCATGCTGTAGTACATCAAACACAAAAGAACCGGGTTTAACCATAGAGGGTTCAGACCACCTGATAAAGGAGATTGACAGTAGCACAGCTATACAAGAAGGTATATAATCAGTACCATGTGATGTTT